CCCCACCAGTCGAAGGCGGCCTCTTTAACACTGCATTTTTGGAAACTGTCCCTGGCTTGCTCATTGACATGGATGAAAGCCATGTTGAAGAGTTCAGTAACAATTGGTCGGAGTCTATGATCTCATTCCAGAGCTCAAACCTTTGCCTTGTCCTGCTTGAGTCTACCAGGGCAGACATAGCCTCATCATGGTTTGCTGTGATCTTTACCCAGTCTAGTACGATTGTACTGTCCCACTGTTACTGTTTGCCTGCCCTTCAGGCTCGCTGGTCGCCTCTAGCTTTTCATTCACCTCCTTTGGTCAGGTGATTGATAGCATAGCACTGACAGCATACTGGTCCTTTTAGCCTGGAATGAAATTCTGCAGCCATTGAAACCCTGTAGTGTACAACAAAACTGTTGACACATACGCTGTTTGATGCTATACTTTCTTTAGCCTTAATGTGTAAATGCAAACTACTCTTCTTGTACAAAATGTATGTGTTTGCATTAGTGTTCCACGGAATATCTTCTTGTCATCAAAATTCCAAAATGCCTATTACATTTTGGTTTTTTTATTTTTTTCCAAAAAGGCATTGACCAGTGGTTCTGCCATTGAAACCATATTTTAAAATTGAAGTATTTGTATAGATATATTTGGGCTTTTGTCTTGATCTTGTTGCATATTTTAATATGTTCTTCTTACCTGGAATATTGTTTTTCTTTGGTTTTTCCCTTACCTTCTGTTCTATCCATTTTTCTGAGTCCTAGGGGCTTTCTGTTATTTCAGACTACAAAGATGTATCAATCTGAACAATTTACTTTCCACACCTGGCATGATTTCCTTGGTTTTTATTTTAAAATTGCCTCATAGTGTTTTTTAATCTCAAATGTCAGCAGCACTGATTCTGTTTTGATTAGGTGGAGCCCATCTTGTATAAACTTAACCTGCTTCAAAAATTTACCAGATACTAATAAATATAATCCCCTTTTCCCGACACAATTTAATCAATCATGACTGAGCCTGTGTATCTGACACAGTGTATAAAACCAGGACCAGTAAAGAATGCTACTATGTAGAACCACATTTTTAGCCTCCTGGTTTAAACTTTGCTTTCAGGACCTCTCACCTGCTGTTTCTTTATTGGTGGTGTGCTTATGGGCCATAACAATTGAGTCTTTCTTAGCACTTGCTAAGAGAATGTCTGGACTCCTCATGGTATGTGCCATCTTTTCAACTGCATGGGTCTTTTCTCATAAAATGTTTGTCCTTGTTTTTATTCACTTGGTCATGATCTTGTTTAATTCCGTTAGAAATGAAGGAAATATTTTACTTTTTCTGCTCCTGAAAGGAGCCCGTCCCATTTAAGACACCTGTTGAGTAATTCATGGCATGGTGTTAGCTAGCATTCATGTCAGCCAGGATCACTTTTTGGGGGTGACCTTCTCCTGGAGGTGAAGACCAGATCCAGAAGACCCACTTGGCCCACCCAGGGATGCCGGCTACTGTGATATCAGCCTGTGCCATCACATGCTGGAGGGAACTTCCCTTGAGTGCAATAGAGGCCATGGACAGCCTATACAGATATGAAGACCCACACAGTGTCTGAAGAATACAGATATGACAAGACCCACGCAATGTCTGAAGAATGATTTGGCTTCTTCATGTGCTGTCTTAGAGCTGCAAGGCTTGACTTGTCCATCCATTCAGGCAAGTTATATCTCACTTTGGGTTAAAGTATTTTAACTGACCAGTAAGTGGCCTTTTGGTGTCTTGTCAATTCACGATTCTGGGTTTTCTGAAAGGATTCTGAAATAAAGCCTTTCTGGCTGAAGTGCCCATCCCAGCAGTCCTGAAGAGCATTGCATTTATGGCAATCTCTTCACTGCTTTACATATACACCCATGAAGGTTGCTTTCCCTGTGGCTTAGTAAACACAGCAGGGGAAATCCAGGAATTTCTACATGGGTTTTTTGCTGGAAGAGTTTTTTTGAACCTCTACCCTAAATTGCTGCTAAAGGTTGTCACTGGATTTCACTTTAGATAGGGAATTAACATGCCAGTTAATTCCCTTTGTGAGGCCTTTAGAAAGAAAGGCACCACTTTGCAGACTGCGCAAGTTGCCTTTCAGCTTTCCAAAGCCAAAGCTTTTCAGGCCCCTGTAGCATAGATAGGTCCTGGCACAGTGATTTCTGTGCAAATAACAAGGCAACTGATGGCGTCAGACTCTGCCATGAGGCTAGCGTGGTGAATTTGCTATCGCTGATCCAGTCCCACTCCATGCAAGCCCCAGTTAACTATAGCAGCTTCACTGCAGAGGCATGCCTCAGTTCCTTTCCAGGGAATGTGAATCTCGTGTTCACCAAGCATTGCTCTATTGCAGCAGCACTCTGTCTGATAGGTAGATCCTTCGTGTCTAGGGATGCCGAAACCTAATTGGAGTAAATGAACGAGAGGAGTAACAGAGTATTGCTTAGAATCATACACAGCGTGACTGTGCTTAACAAGCATGAAAAGAAGAAAAAGCAATTACTTATGAATGACTGAAGTTTCAAGATTCATAGTGCATGGGTATTGGCTACCATTCCTCATTTTTCTCCGCTGATGTCTCTGCATGTAAGTGAGATAGTTCTTCTGCCTGCTAAGAAGAAACTGAAGGGATGAGCTTACACCTCTTTTTCATCTGTGAAGGAAGCACGAAGAGAAGGAGAGTGCATGCGTGCGTGCCCTTTGGGGACTGCGAAGACAAAAATTCTCAGTTCTCAAGCTCATGTCCACACACTGTGTGCAATGTTCACTTTTACAGCATATCCTGAAAATTATTGCCAAGTAGCTTTCCCTTCTTCTCCCTCTCTTTGGCTTAATCTGTTTTTCTTTCAGCTTTTAAATCTTTTTCTAATGCACTTCCAGCTGCCACAGAAATCATGCGTGCTGCAGAGGATGTAATCCAAAGTTGCCTGAATTCTGGTACTTTCAATTGATAAAGGTAGTGCCCAAAACTACAGTAGTGTCTTCACAGAGACCCCAGTCTAGGTTAGAGAAAGCAGTAAGAAACTTCCCTGCCTCTTGCTTCTTTAGGGGCCACCGCTCCCCTTCCTTTTTTTCCTAAGATAAAAAAGAAGATCTAAATCTATGTTAAATTACACCATCTCCATCTGAGTGCATTTTCCTCACTTCTACTGATGCAGAGTGATACTATCACTTAAATTAAAATACGTAATTACGTAAAAATGTAAATATGTTTTATTTCATGACTGTTTAACTTTATGGATATGAATTTTCCGTTCAGAAAACATCACACACAAGGAGAACAACGGTATAAAGGACAGGTTTTGAGTGCAGAGCAACAGAAAAGAGAGCAAGCAGCAAAGTTCAGCCTCTGTTAAGAGTTCATTACTTCTTATTTGCGGAAAAATTAGTCGCATTTCTTGGAAATGTTTAAGCACAACGTAACGGTGAAAAGTACTCCCTTCCTTCTTTCTCTTAATTGTATGACCCCTGAACAGGAACCTAGTTGCTGGACATGTGCTGTAAGCAGGAAGGTTAGCGAGAACAAATCAAACATGCCTCTTCTGCTGCACTCAACAGCAGCACAACTGAAAGGGACATAGAGCACATCTGGAGGGGCAGGGCTGCGGGTGTCCCACTGGCAGTGGCATTTGCACTGGCTCCATGTGAGTGCTCAAAGAGAAAGTCAGATAGCCACTTGCTGGGAGGCACCTGCCTAGAAGACCACTCAGCGTTCAGGTAAGGCAAATGTGTTAGTACTGTGAGGAAGGAATTGGCAAGGAGCCCTCTCTCCTCAAACAAACAAGGACTTCAGAGCCTTGCAAATCAGGTCTTAAAATGAAGAAGTAGGAGGATCTCTCAATTCACCAAAAGCCCATTTTTGTGAGTAGAAATGGTAAGAGAGGCAAGAAAGTATTTCTTTTTGGACAGGTTCACAATGCAATGGAACAGCATACATACTTTGTATAGATCAGATGGGTGAATCAACAGGGATCATTGATTCCTTCTTACAGCTTAGGGGATATTTCTTACCCTCAATGTGAAGGAAGGAGGTAGAAAATCCTATCGTTAATTCTAACCAGCAAGCTTTGTCCTTGTCTTCTGGTGAAGGGGCAGAAAGTTTTCCCATTAATAGATTATCTTCATATAAAACTACTCTGAGAGATCATTTCAGTCTTGATGCAAGACAGGGTTTGGGGCCAGCAGAAGGCCCAAGACTCTCCCAGCTAACCACCTGAGTTTTGCTGTCAGCTTTAACCGGCAACAAAGAAGGAAGAACCATGGCTGTTGAGCATGGATTTGAGGAAGAACTGCCAGTGATACAGAGAGTGGTTGCCTGACACAAGATCATGCTTACATGCAAAGGTGTAAAGATGAGAGAGCTCATCAGTCATCTTCTGGCTTCAAGCTTTGTTTGGGGGGTTGGAACTATTCGAGATGAGTTTCAGACTCTGTGCCTCTATTTTTTCCTCTTTTCTTTTCTATAGTAGTTCCTTTTCTTTTAGCCTGGTATTTGTCCATCCTCCCATTATTTTCTGCTTTCATCTTGGTGACAGAAAGAGGAGATGGTGTGAGTGTATACACAGGTAGTTACCAGGGCTATACCAAACACTCCAGATGTATGACAATAGGAGGCTTGTGAATGGTATTTAGGGAAGACCCCAAAGTTCATGGGCTAAACAATGTTCAAAGCCTGTTAGTACATGTACTTAAATTGACTAGTCATGAAGTTTCACACCTGAGTAGGCCTGACTATTACCAGTATGAGCCATGACTTTGCCTGTTCCATTCTTAGATATCATTTTGGTTTATAACACAGAAAGGGTTGTCAGACTCTGGAATGGTCTGCCCAGGGAGGTGGTTGAGTCCCCATCCCTGCAGGTATTTAAAAGAAGGATAGATGAGGTGCTTAGGGACATGGTTTAGTGATGGGATGGCAGGGTTAGGTTAAAGGTTGGACCTGATGATCTTAAAGGTCTTTTCCAACCAAAGCAATTCTATGATTCTATGATTCTAAAACTTTTTTCCAGCCTGCCTTTTTCCCTCAACAACAGGTGTCTCTTTGTTCTGTCTGTTGACTTGTCCTGCCTCCTTTTCTTTGGAGTTAGAGTGAGGGCTGGTTGCTTCCAAAGTTGCTCTTGGTACTCTCATTTCCTCCTACTGGGGATATCAAAAGATCATTCATAGGAGACAACAGGCTTCTCACTGGGGAGAGCTGCTCTTTTAAGCTTACTGTGTTATACTCACACTTGCTTGATTAGCTTTCCATCTATGTAGGCGTTTCAAGGGGTTTCATGGAGCATTGGGCCTCTGCAGTTCAGGAAGAGAAGCAGAGCTACCCTCTGAAGTTCTGTATCATAGTTCTCTATATCAGAATGGCTGTGATTCCTGTCTGGAGTTTGGGAGCAGAAAGGGGAAGTTGAAGTTTTAAGCCAGTGTTACGAGGCCCTTCTGCTTCAAAGGCTTGAAGCCCAATTAGGCGTAAACACACTAGGCTTAACCCTTTGGACTTATCTGTTGAATCAGAATATTTCTTGAAAACTAATTTCACCTATTAAAAAAAAATTCCAGCTTTTCTTTACGGGTTGTAGACCAGAATCTTACTTTTCCTGCATGACCATTTTGATTTACAAGCAAGCAGAGTCAAAAAGTTAAGTCTTTCTCAGTCCTAAGAGTCACGATAAAATTCTGATAAATGGCAACACATTGACAGTCCAGCCTACTCTAAGAGCAGCAGCTGCTGTTGGAGACTTCTTACCTTCAGGCTTTCCCATGAAGGGCCAAATTTTAGTTGTGAAATCCATGCAGTATGAGCTGAACAACATAGGAAATATTCCCGTCACCCAGCTCCTCACTCCTCTGTCTCTGCCTTCTCCAGCACAGTAGTAGAGCTTGGGTTCAGTTTACCCTTTCCCACTACCTTCTCTAGCCCCATCCATCTTCTGATTGTTTCCTCTTTTCAGAGAGCATCCCAATGCAGACCCTACAGTGTTGTAATGACTACATATTGCTTACAACTTGCACATGGATGGAATGTTCAGAGGCTCATCAATTCCCAAATGTGACTCTAAACTTTAACAACAGCAATGGAACGTAAGTGCCTGGCTGGTGGTCTGTGAAGGGTCTAAAGGGGCTTGGCTGCTGAATCTCAGAGCTGGGCAAAAGAACAGTGGACTGGGCTTGCTGCTAGCATGGCATCCAGCTTGCAGACACCAGTGTGATGTCCTGGCTAGGGAGAATGTTGGATCTGTACATGATGAGGAAGCACAGGAAGAACAGCGTGCTAATCAAGTCATTTTCGTTATCTTTTTAATCACTCTCCCCTGCTTTTGCTGTGAGAGCACATGCACAAAATGTGGCAGGATGTGTTAATTATTGACCCTGAGTGGAGAAGGATGTGTTACACAAGAAGCAGTGGTGATAACTAATCAGGATGGCAAAGGCAGCTGCTTCTTCCTTGTGCCAGTAAGAGCATAGGTGTGTTGAAATAATTTCTGCAAAAGGAACTGTGAGAAAACCAGAAGTTGTACATGTATGTTTGACTCACTGGGTTTCCTCTCAGAGATACTAGGCTACATCTTGCACTATCTTTTTGCTACTTCTGCTTCCTTTCAAGGAAAGAACAGAACGGTCAAATTGGAGAGTGTGAAGGAGAGGAAGGGGCAAAGAAGAAGAAAGAGAGAGGGGAAGGAGAAAAAAGAATAATAGTAGAAGCAGGAGATGGAGGACTAAACAGCAGAGAGATTGGAGGGTGGGAAGAAAACGTGTGAAATAAGAATAAGAAGAAGTTAACTTGGTTTTATTTTTGAGATGGAGCTCTAGGATTCATTCATGAGTTGACCTGACAGCTATGGAATCAGTGGAGAAGGTGCTCCTTATGGTCTCTACAGTATTGAAACACATTCCATATGTTACCAGTTTGCTGTGGATTGAAGTCATCAATGAGGGGTCATTTGGGACAGAGATGTTCTGTGGCACAAAGGACTCCACAGTCTGCAGGGAAATAATTTTTTTTGTAGGAGAACTGCAGTCCCATAGTCCTCCTGCCCCAACTGCTAGCTGCATTTCTTTGGCTTACCTTCTTTGACTGCTCTAGTGTAAGCATAGCATAACATACATATGTACGCATGTAAACTGCCAACCCTACTATTACAGAAGCAATGAGCTTTACTTGCTAAGGGAAGGTGAGCTAGGAGCTGAGGGTGACAGCAAGGTGTTCACCTCATTGCCAACGGCGTAATCCCACAGTAACAAGAAAAGCAGCACAATGAGAGTGACGAGGATCAGCCATCAGTCCAGGTCCCCAAGGAAGTCCCTATCCATCAGCCAGGCTGAAGGTCAAGCTAGGAAGTCAGTTCCACAGATCCCAATCAGCAGCGTGTATCACCAGGCACAGATATGGCTGCGTCATAGCTCAGGCAAGGCCCAAAGGCAAGGGCCTGAAATTAAAAGCAGCTTCTGAGCGAAGGTGGGGAGGCCCTCCAGCTGATTCCATCTTACACAGACTTGAGCATGGGTAGCCAAACCCCTGGGAGTGGGGCTGAAAGAGGTTGTGCTCAGGGTGCAGACACCTACCAACCCAAGACAGTTACTGTGCACGCATCTTTCTCTAAGGAAGAGACAAAACAGATGCACTTGATACCAGAGAATTTATTCATGTCACTTAATGAACTACAGGAGTACACCAACATAGTGCAGTGATGAAGAAACAGAATAAAATAGCATGTGGGGAAGGTTTCAGAAACCACACTTTGGGCCATCTAGCAGCATCCTATTCAGATAGACATGCTTTTTTCTGTGTAACCAGGAACAGAGAAATGACCTGCAGGCCCCACAAAGGTGAAAACCACGATGACTGCCAGAACTTCACAGTGCACTGGGTGTGTCACATCCCTGGGTATGATCCAAGAAACTAGAGCTTCAAATTTGACCTGACACTACACGCAGAGCTAAATGTCTACTTGTTTCAGAATGGTGAAGATGAACCACTAAGTCTTGCCTCTATTCCTGAGTATTTAAAGGTTTTTCAGATTAATAATTGAATAGCTAATCCTAAAAAGAGACTTAGGTCAGCCTGTAACCTGAAACATAAGCAAAAGTGAAGTTAAATGGCTATAAGGCCATAGTATCACCTTCAAATTCAGTGCATTTGGGACAGACAAAAGGGAGTCTGCCTTCAATGACTACAATGGAAAAAATGGGGGTAGACCTGCCAGCTAACCAGTGTCTTGATGGGGCTTGGGGGAAGATCTCAAAAAAGCCACCTGATCCAGCACCATGCTCTACATGTATTACAGCACAGACTTTCACAAAGCTGCTATAAAGCTGCACAACAGCACTGCTCTCCCTACTTTCCTCTTGTGTTCATGAACATATTTCCCAGACAGTTTGCACTTTGTGGTGAAAGAGAGTCATGGATTATTTGTAGAAATCCAGGGAAACTGTTAAATATCCAGATTCTGTCATTCAGAGACAATCAGCTAGGCATTTTCTTGCCCTGTTCATGTCCCTGTCCTCACTGCCTCATCTCATGGGCTGTACCTTCACCTTCCAGGTCAGACCCTCCCACCTCAAAACCTCTCTGAAGGAAGAAGGGAAATTGAAATCAACACAGGAAAGCAATCGACTTTAAGAATAGGGAATAAAATAAAGGATGGAAAGAAGTGTTTTGTTCCTTCTTACTTGAGTAATAAGAGTAATAAGTACACAAGCAGTGTTCTCCCCTATCATTCCTATTACAGGGAACGATGAGGGAAGAAACAGGAAGAGCCAGGAAATAAATACCTGGCTTTGAGCCTGGTGTGAGGATTAGATTTTGGGGGTTTTGACCATGGGCTGACCTACACAACAGCAGATTTGCTGGCAAATGATGGGGTACACCTGTCTCCAAGGGGCAAAAAAATGCTTACCAAGAAGTTAGCAGGGCTCATTGAAAGAGCTTTAAACTAGATTTTAAGGGGGAGGGGAATGAAACCAGGCTTGCTAGAAGTAGGCCTGGGGATGGCGCGCCAATGTGCGAGTAACAGCATGCTAGCGAGGTCCTTTGTTCTGTCACCTCAGAGGAAGGGACGGATAGTAATCCAAGTGGCAGCAAAGATGCAAAGGTTATTGATGGGTTGGTAACAACTGTGATCATTCACTTAGGAATTAAGACTTCTCCTCTCAGAAGAGCGGCGGGATCAATAGTCCAACTGAACTGCATCTCTACCAATGCTCACAGCATGGCCAACAAACAGGAGGAATTAGAAACCATCATGCAGCAGGTAAACTATGATATAGTTGCCATCACAGAAGTGTGGTGGGATAACTCACATCACTGGAGTGCTGCCATGGATGGCTATAAATTCTTCAGGTGGGATAGGCAAGGAAGAATAGGCGCTGGGGTAGCCCTGTATGTTAGAGAGTGTTTTGATTGCCTTGATTTCAATGATGGTGATGATAGGGTTGAGTGTTTATGGGTAAAAATCAGGGGAAAGGCCAATCGGGCAGATATCGTGGTGGGAGTCTGTTATGGAGTGCCCAGCCAGGACGAAGGGACAGATCAAATATTCTACAAGCAACTGGGAGAAGTCTCGTGATTGCTAGCCCTTATTCTTGTGGGGGATTTCAACTTATCAGATGTCTGCTGGAAGTACAATACAGCAGAAAGGAAACAGTCTAGAAGGTGCCTGGAGTGTGTGGAAGACAAGTTCCTGACACAACTGGCAAGTGAACCAACTAGGGAATGTACCCTGTTGCACCTGTTTTTTGTGGACAGAGAAGGCCTTGTGGTTGATGTGATGGTTGGAGGATGCCTGAGGCGCAACAATCATGAAATGATGGAATTCTCAATTCTTGGAGAAGTAAGGAGGGAGGTCAGCAGAACTGCCACCTTGGACTTCTCGTAGGGCAGACTTTGGACTGTTCAGAAGGCTGGTTGACAAAGTCTCTTGGGAGGCAGTCCTGAAGGGCAAAGGAGCCCAAGAAGGCTGGACATTCTTCAAGAAGGAAATCCTGGAGGTGCAAGAGCAGGCCATCCCCATGTGTCGAAAGATGAGCTGGCAGGGAAGAAAACCACCCTGCCTGAACAGAGAGCTTTGGCTGGATCTCAGAAAAAAAGAGGGAAGTCTATGAGCTTTACAAGAAGGGGCAGGCATGTCAGGAGGACTACAAGGTTTTTGCGAGGTCATGCAGAGAGAAAATTAGAAGGGCTAAAGCCCAACTAGAACTTAAATTGGCCAATCCTGTGAAAAATAATAAAAATTATTTCTATAAATATATTAACAACAAAAGGAGAGCCAAGGAGGATCTCCATCCTTTACTGGATGCAGGGGGAACCATAGTGACAAAAGATAAGGCTGAGGTACTTAATGCCTTCTTTGCCTCAGTCTTTAATAGTAAGGTCAGCTGTTCTCCAGGTACCCAGACCCCTGAGCCAAAAGACAGTGATGGGGAGCAGAACAAAGCTCCATGATCAAAGAGGAAATGGTTAGTGACCTGCTCAGCTAAGTAGACATACACAAGTCTATGGGGCTGGACAGAGTCCACCCAAGAGTATTGAGAGAGCTGGCAGAGGTGCTCACCAAGCCGCTTTCCATCATCTCTCAGCAGTCCTGGATAACTGGGGAAGTTCCACTTGTCTGGAAGTTGACAAATGTGATGCCCATTTACAAGAAGGGCCAGAGGGAGGACCCGAGGAACTATAGGCCTGTCAGCCTGACCTCAGTACTGGGGAAGGTCATAGAGCAGATCGTCCTGAGTACACTTACCAGGCATGTGCAGGACAACCAGAAGATCAGGCCCAGTCAACATGGATTTATGAAAGGCAGATCCTGCTTGACTAATCTGATCTCCTGCTATGAGAAGGTGACCTGCTTAATGGATGAGGGAAAAGCTGTGGATTTAAATATACCTGGACTTTAGCAAATCCGTTGACACCATTTCCCCCAGAATTCTACTTGAGAAATGGGATTCCCATGGCCTGGACAGGCATACTCTTTGCTGGGTAAAAAACTGGCTGGACAGCCAGGCCCAGAGAGTTATGGTGAAAGGAGTTAAATCCAGTTGGTGGCCGGTCACAAGTGGTGTTCCCCAGGGCTCAGTGTTGTGGCCACTTCTATTTAAAATCTTTATCAATGACCTGAACAAGGGGATTGAGTGTACCCTCAGCAAGTTTGCAGATGACACTAAGTTGAGTGGAAGTGTTGATCTGCTTGAGGGTAGGAAGGCTCTACAAAGGGACATGGAGAGGCGAGATCAATGGGCTGTGGCCAACTGTATGAGGTTCTTTGTGATATTTTGCAGCAAATCTGAAAGCTGTAAGGCTGCAACCAGAAATAATATCTATTTTTTCAATTCTCGGGATTTCAAGTTTTCAGATTGGCAATTGCCTTCAACTCTGTTGATTTACTTGCTCTCAAGTGCTTTCAACTTCTTTATTTCTCTGGTGCTCAGTGTCCTGTCACTTTAAGAACCCCAGCACGTAGCCCTCTCAGTGCTTTCACTACTTCTTCAGAGCATTTTTGCGTGTGCTGAGCAGAAGAACTTGTGAGAATGGCAGACCACAGTCATAGAGATGATCTTACCCCAGAAATACATCTGTGATGACAAAATGCGTACGATCATGTTGCTTTAGGCTTTCACCCCAAGAGCAGAGCAGAAAGAAAGATTCATGCTTGTAATTCTGTGAATTAACCATTTCAGTGTTACTCCTTTCCATAGGCACTGTTTGATTTTTCTGGAACCAATAAACTGGAACTCAGCTTCAAGAAGGGAGACTTGATCTATCTACTGAGCAGAGTAAACAAAGACTGGTTGGAGGTAAGGCTCAAGAGCAGGACTGAATTACTCGCATAGCTTGACATATATGAGTAGAAAGGACTCTTGTAGCCCTTGGGACGTGCCTCCTCCTTTCAAAGAAAAAAAATTCTGTCATAATCAGGTCTTACTGTCAAGAATAAATCCTTGACTCCAAATTTGAAATTCTTTCCTTCCTTGATGGCTTTTAGCTTACAACTTTTCTGCCCCCTAGTCTTCAGTTTTCATTTGCATTTGCTTCTGCTGGAATGTTCTTAACTTCTTTGGAAGCGAGTAGACCACAAGAAGGCCACAGCAAGGAGATGGAAACTCCATTTCAGCGATTAATTGGTTTCTTGCCGCAGGGTGAGTTGCTGTATACTTCGTGCTTCGTACCACAACACACGTCAGCCTGATTAGAGAGAATTTGGGCAATGCAGCCGCGTTCTGAAAAAGGATGAGGAGAACATACTGTGTGTTTGCTGATAGGCTATCTCTGCTTGCTCAAACACCACAGCCTTCCTTGATAACCATCTGACTTGCATCTTTACACACCCTTTCACTCCCTGGCCTTGCATTGGACTGCACAATTGTATCATCTTTTTGTAGGGATGCCGTCAGGTCACTTACATTGCCTTTCTTTTCTTGATTATAGTAGGTTGTTTCCATGGAAATTAATTGAATTCCAGACCTCATGTATGTGGCCAAAACGGCACGGTTTTCTTCATTCTAACACGTCCTATCATCCCAGGGAACAGCTGGTGGTGTCACTGGGATTTTCCCATGTGCTTTTGTGAAGATCATAAAAGATTTACCACAGCAGGCAGACACGGTTAATAAAGTTCGCTGTTACTACCACGAGGAGGCTGTGAGCACTATCAGGTAATAAGAAAGTAGTCCTCCAGCTCACTGCTGAAGAAACGCCGACAATTCTCTTTTTGTGATACGTGATGATTAGATTTGTTCTTGTTACAGGGATATCTCAGTGGAAGAGGATCTGAGCAGCATTCCGTCATTCAAAGAGCTCACGGAGTTGATGAGGTACAGTGCAAGCACTTAGCTCTATGTTTAATAGCATTTAAACGTTGGTCAAGTTTGTTCCGGTCCTAGATTTTCCACCTTCTCCTTGGTCATCACCATGTTTTGGGTGTGAAATACTTTTCAGGTGTCCCGAGGAAGTTGTTCTTTGACTTGGCCCAGGGCCACCTGTGCAGACACTGGTCTGCCTTGGGATTGTCAGTAAGCATGGAATGCCACACCATTCTAACTCAGTTGTGATGGTTTCCATTTCTTGTGCTAAGATCAGCACCATAGCCGCATGCAAGGATCTTTTGTCTAATATTCTTCTTCCGGATGCAGGACACTGCCTTCTAACACCCGTTAAACTAAACTGGTGTTGAACATCAAACCGTTAGAACATCAAACATGAGTCATAGAAGACCTGTGCTAATATTCTTCCTTTCCTTAACCTTCCCTCCCCTCAAAAAAAGCAGCCGTAAGTAGGCAAAAGTGGGTACTCACTACAGTCAGCTCTTATGTATGGGAATTTTATCAAACTCACAGATTAACTGTGCCATGCATGTGGTGTTACTGGAAACATGGATACATGGAGTTTTCAAACACCATGATTTAGATTTGACTGCTAGTTTCTCTGTCATGAAGCTATAATTCCTCATTTTAAAAAATCTGCTTCCTTGACCTGCTGCTAAAATTTGTACAGGCAGAAGGGAAGGTTAATGAGGAACTGAAGGTACTAAGAAACAGTTAAGTAACGATGCATGGATAACTAACCTGCCCCTTTCTTACTTAGCACTTATTAAGTGTGTAGTTCCAGCAGTATATCAATCCAGTACAGACCTGTATAAGAAAATGCATTCTCCAAAGAGTTGTAAGATGTGCTGCAGGCCATACCTGCTTTCCAGGTACAAAGGTTCCCACCTGAAGAACCCATGCATAATAAATTTCAGAGGTAGACAACGTATGTTCGGAAGAGGCACCCTGTGTGTCTTCCTTTTTTGCAATGATGGAAGGTTTTATTTGGCATTATTTTACTAAAATGTTACAAAATGTAACTTCTCACTTCAAAGGCATGGTAGCAATGCGGTTTAGGAAGGAGATGAAGCAATCAATGTACAATGATAATGCTAGTAACCTTCCACCTTGTGATACATAAGAGAATGCATTGCAAATTTGAAACCTAATTAGCGTGCATGGCCTGCAAAGCTTCTGGCGTGCAGGATTACCCATTACCCGTTCCTGGAGTTCAACAGAGCAAATAACATCTGAAGATTTTCACGGACAGCTAGATCCTGTGATGTGACCAGCAACTCAGGGAGTCTGTCTGAAGATGGAGGAGGTATCCAAGGGAGGGAGGAAGGAAAGTGAGGGAAAATGTCTGCTGGGAAACAAGAAACCCCTTTTGTAAGGGTGGGGGAAGAACATACATGAATTTACTGGCCTCTGGAAATCAAAGCAGGAGAATTCCTTTCTGCCTGTATACCGTAATGCAAAGTAAATCCTGCCCATCCAGCAAAGGTGCACATTCCCCTCCTTGTCTGCAGATTTTATATAGTCCCAATGACACACAATTTCCTCTGATACTCTCATATTGTCCTTGCTCTTCATGTTTCGCTTATTCCCAGCATACATTTTTTCTTTGTATCTTTATGTGGTTCTTGTTAGAACCTAACTGTGCTATCTATGCTTTTGGTCGGAACTACTGGGATTTAGAGAAGGTGAAGGACAGTGCAGTGCAGGACAAATGGACACTGGCAGTTATATATTCTGTATCTGGGGACTCATCTTAGTCCCCTGTAGTTTACCTCTGAGAGCGCAAGCCTGAGTGTGTCTTTCCTGTATGGCTACTGAATTTTCCTATATATCTTGTTATTACTCAAAGGGTTACAGAGACAAAGGTAGTTCTCTCTCTCCCCTCCCCCCAGTATATGTACAAATAAACATAAAATACAGAATGATCCCTGACAATCTTCAGTCTAGCACAGAGTAAAGCAAGAAACAGTACTGGAGTAAAACCAAGGAATGCTTTCTTAGTCTTTCTCACTCACTTCTGCTGCAGTTAATCTTCTTTTTTTTCCTGAAAATACATTACTCCCATGACCTGCTAATTGTTAACACACAGACTGGCAGTGACAAACTTCCTTCCCCTCCCTTCCCTGTTAAACAGTCCCATCTAACTAAGCACTTTGAGAGCTAAAATAGGAAGCATAGACTTCCTATTTTACAGGCAATTACACAGACTTTCCTTGAAAAGGCGTGGTCTGCTGCTTTGAAAGTGGCATTTGAGGTGCATAAAAGATACAGCAGTTATTCTGAAGACTTACTTGCCTAGAAAAGCCTGTGGTCAGTTTATACTTTCTGTCTCCAGTGCTAGGGAGGTGTGGTTTTGCTGGTTTCAGCATCAGAGGATTCTGGTGCTCTGGGGGGAGGCTGGACAGGGGGTGTCACCTGCCAGGTTGAACCATCTGCTTCACAGACAGCTCTGGATCCAGGTAAGGGACCTGCTTCCTCTCTGGGGAAAGCAAAATGGCAGAAAGGCTGCTCTCATACAAAGGCTTGTGAGTCATTAAGGGTTTCGTTAGCTATAACGATTATTCAAGGGCTCGGACAGCTGTTTCTGGTGTAAGGAAGTGGCACTGAGGAATCTGAAAGTCAACGGGAATTTAAAAGGAGTTTTTTCCATGCTCCCCTACCTAGAAAAGTCTCAGCTCTGTAAGATACTTGAGTAGGTGAGTTGATCGTATTATGAGAGAGCAATGAGAGATGGCCAAAAGGACTTGAATTCCAGTATTGAACAATGGGGTCCATAATCTTTGAACCACTCAATCTATTCTCAATCTCAACAATCACCAAAAAAAAAAAAAAAAAAGAGATATAAATAATTTCTTTGGTACTATTGCTACAATTTGCAAGTTGTTTGGGGAGCAGTAGCACGTTGAAGAGAAATCTGAAAGTGAATGAATATGGAAATTCAATGCCTATAGCTCCCAGGAGCTATGTGGTTGGGGATGATATTTTTAAGGAAAGGAAAAAGCCAGAACACCACTGCGATTCATTAGGAAGGGTTTGAGTGTGAAGAGCAGAAGGATGAATGAATTTGAAGGCTGAGTTCGACTCACAGAGTGTTGTGGTTTAACCCTGCTACTCAGC